CTAGGTATTTCATTTTCCTCGGTGCTATTGTAAAAGGTATTGTTTCTATAATTTCCCTCTCAGTGTGTTTGTTGTCTGTGTAGAGGAATGCTATTGACATTTGGGTATTGACTTTATAACCTGCTATACTACTGAATTTCTGTATTAATTCTAGTAGCTTCTTGGTGGAGTTTTTTAGGTCTTCCATGTAAAGTATCATGTGATCTGCAAATAATGATAATTTAACTTCTTCTTTATCTATTCTTATTCTTTTTATTTCTTTCTCATGTCTAATGGCTCTAGCCAATGATTCTAGAACTGTATTGCATAGGAGTGGTGATAGAGGACATCCTTGTCTTGTATCAGATCTAAGAGTAAAAGTTTTCAGTTTTTCTCTATTTAGAATTATGTAAGCCATTGTGTTTTTATAAATAGCTTTTACCAGGTTGAAGTAGAGGCCATCTATTCCAATTTTCTGCAGGACTTTGAATATGAAAGAGAGTTAGACTTTGTCAAAACTTTTTTCTGCATCAATGGAGATGATCATGTGGCTTTTAATTTTCACCCTATTGATATAGTGTATTACAATTATGGATTTTCGTATATTGAACCATCTTTGCATCCCTGGGATGAATCCTAGCTGGTCATGGTATATGATCTTCTTGATGATTTTCTGTATTCTATTTGCTAGGGTTTTACTGAGGATTTTGGTATCTATGTTCATGAAGGAGATTGCCCTGTAGTTCTCTTTCTTAGTTGCATCTTACCCTGGTTTTGGTATCAGTATAATATTTGCTTCCAACAATGATTTTGGGAGGATTGCTTCCTTTTCAATTTCATTGAAGAGTTTGAGGAGTATAGGGACTACATCTTTTGTAAATGTTTTGTAGAATTTACCTGTGAATCTATCCAGATTTGGACCTTTCTTTGTTGGTAGATTTTTTGTTACATCTCTTATTTCATTGGCTTTTATTGGGCTATTGAGAGTGGTTATATCTTGTCAATTCAGTTGTGGCAATTTGTACCTTTCTAGAAACCTGTCCATTCCTTCTGTGTCTTCTATTCTGTGAGAGTAAAGATTCTCAAAGTAGCTATTGATAATCATCTGAATTTTCACTGGAGCTGTGGTAATTACACCCTTTTCATTTTTTATTCTTGTATTTGAATTTTATCTTTCCCCTTTTTGATGAGGTTAGCTAGGGGCTTATCGATTTTATTTAATCTTTCAAAGAACCAGCTCTTTGCATTTTTAATTCTTTGAATTATTTTCTTCATCTCAATCGAATTAATATCTTCTCTAATCTTTATGATTTCCTCCCATCTTTGGGCTCTGGGTTTCGTTTGCTCTTCCTTTTCCAGTTGTTGAAGTTGCAGAATTAGAGTATTTATTTGTTCCCATTCAGTTTTCCTAATGTGTGAGTTCATAGCTATGAATTTCCATCTGAGAACTTCTTTCATCATATTCCATAAATTCTGATAATTTGTGCTTGAATTTTCATTGAATTGTAGATATTGTTGAATTTCTTTTTTAATTTCATCTGTGACCCATTGGTTGCTGAGTAGGGTTTTTAATATTTTCCATGTATGTAGGATTTTTTTTTTTCTCATTAAACGTTTTATTCATGTAACCCCGGATCCTGGCAGAATCAAAATCAACCCAGTTAAACCAGGCCACCCGGTGACTCTCTTGGTGGCCCGGCCCTGGGGTGAAGCGCTGGCTGCAGGACGGCTGCGGCCGCGTGGCATCCAGGCTGGACGGGCGCCTTGCTCACACAGCAAGGATTTTTTTTTCTGGTGTCTTTTGTCATTTATTTCCAGTTTCATTGCACTGTGGTCAGATAATGTGCATGGGATAATTTCTGTTTTCTTGCATATACTTAAACATGACCTATTTAGCAGTACGTGG